AATCTAATATTTAATCTAATATTTTAATCCAGTATTTTAATCTAACATTAATCTAAACTTCAACGATTCTAAGAATATTCTATATCTAATATTTTAATCTAATATTTTAATCTAACATAAATCTAAACTTTAACGATTCTAAGAATATTCTAAATCCATTATTTTAATCTAGTATTTTAATCTAACATAAATCTAAACTTTAACAATTCTAAGAATATTCCAAATATAATATTTAGTCCAATATTTTTATCTAGTATTTTAATCTAACATAAATCTAAACTTTAATGATTTTAAGAATATTCTAATTCTAATATTTTAATCTAGTATTTTAATCTAACATAAATCTAAACTTTAACGATTCTAAGAATATTCTAAATCTAATATTTTAATCTAATATAAATCTAAAATTTAACGATTCTAAGAATAATCTAATATTCTATATCTAATATATTAATCAAACATAAATCTAAAATTTTAACGATTGATTCTAATACTTTAACGATTAAATTATTATACGACTTATTATATTATATATTACGTTTTATTGCAATTAAAACTTATACGGTCAAAATTTGATAATTTATTAGGAAACAAACAATGTAAACTTACATTTTTGTAAAGAACTACATCTTCAACTTCATTTACTTTATAGTTTTCAATACCAAGCTCTTTTGCCATTCGAAAAACTCGGTTCTGTGTTGGACCAACATAAGCACCACCTAAATCTACGTAACCAACTTTGGGATCCTGTAGTTAAAAGTTATTGTAAAACGATCGAACAATTAAGGAATTAAGTTAATAGTAAATTAAAAAAATCAATGTAGATTGCAAAACATATTACATATTTTGTCAGAGTGCGACCTCCTACTCGATCACGTGCCTCCAAAACAATCACATTGATGTCAGATTCCTTCAAAAGTTTAGCTGCACTTAGACCTGGATTAATAATAACAATTGCTAGACAGATGTCTGGCTAATGCCAAGGTTCTCCAGTGAATGTTATTATTCATATACACCGTAAAAAATTCCGAATTAAATTACATTGAAAAGCACCTTGTAATGCATCATCCGTAAAATCCATTTTTAACATAAAATTCCTTTCCATAATTCTTACAGTAATATTTATTGATTTACAATTAATCAGTGATTTTACAGTAAATATTTCTTAAAACATACAGTAATTTAGGAATTTTAATTACACATTATAATATTGTGAAATTTTACGTCAGGGAATTAAAGTTTTTTTTTTCAACGCCCACCTGTGTTAACATCCGTCAATTCATGCATATACAGGGCGATTTTGTTGGCCTCTCTTTCAGGGGCACCATATTAGGTGGGCCAGCGTCGCTCCCACTGTGAGGACAGATGGTACAGAGAAGGAAAGAACATCCATGCCTTACCCGGGATTCGAACCCAGAACCTTTCTGATGCAAGGACAGTTCCCTGCCCCCTACACAGGCCGGTCTGCCAGGGAATTAAAGTAAAAATTATGATATATCAGATTTTTGTTCTGAAAAATGTTACGATAAAAATGGATTTAACGGGAAAAAGTATTGGCATCCTGAGTGGCCGATACTTTTTACCTTAATTTGATCCGAAATTTCTTACAGCGTTGTATCTTCTTGTAGTATGTCTAAAATAGTTTTTAAGAAATATTATTATAATAACTGGATAATTGCGCAGTAAAAAAATTTCCATTGAGATACAGGGATAAAAACAGGAATATCTGTAAAATTAAGTAAGTTTTCGTTTAAAACGCATCTAAACAATGTTCTTGTCAACAGAGTAACGACAGAGGTGGGTAGAGGCTTCACATGCCACGTCTTCGGCCGGGGTTCGATTTCCCGTGCACTTTCGATCTCGTCTTATTATTTAGTGTTCTAGTAGTGTTGTAACGGAGTGTTTCCGACTCAGAAAAGGCTTAATGTATAAGAACTGGAACATAATTTAAAGATTTTTACTTTCTTCATTCTTGTAAGGTTATTCTAACTTTTCGGTGAATATATTTTTTTTTATTTTCACAGAAACTTTCCGCTTTGAATTGTCTGAAATTTTTCACGAGACAAATGATTTCTAGCACAAGAAGAAAAAAAATATTACGGTCTAGTTATATTCACTTTAATAAGGAATAACCTTTGTTTAGATATTTAGATTTGGTATAATGTGTCAATAAAATACAATTTTTTAAAATTAATTATATTAAAATCTAGAAAACCTAATAATACCTAATTTTAGTAGCATAACAATTCAGAATTTTTTGCAATGTATGTAGTTTGTGAAAAACGATAGATTTTAATGTTATGAACAATATTATGCAGGAATTATAACTTCAGAAGTTAATAATATTTATTTGTTTTATTTTAGCAATTAATTTTTTCTTTAGATTTTATTTTCTGTTTTTTTGCGTGATATATATTTATTATTTAATGGGCTCTATTTAGTTTCAAATTTTTGAGTACTACTCACACTATTGTATTGATATATTTTACTTTGGCTATATAGATACAATATTAGAAAGCGCTACTTTTTGCAGATATAATCGTGTGAGCTGATGGATATCTTTTCAATTTTTTTTGTTTTCCGGCTTTTTAATATATATTTTTTTAATTATTTCTTATATATATTTCTTAATTATTTATTATTTATAA